CGGCTGCTGGTGCAACTCCTCCGGCTCCAACTTTGAGAGCACCAAAACCGCTTGGTTCAGCACACTGTGGTCGTGCGCATTCTGAGTTCGGTTCTTTAATTGAAATCGAAATTTGGCATTGGTAGAAGAGCTGTGAACGATCGGCGTATTTATAGACGTGAGCCTCCTGCAATGCGAAATAGTTAGTTCTTTCATTTGATAGCAATTACTTGTGACTTGTAATCAAACTTGTGTTTCACTTCGTTACATACACTGAAATAAGAATTTGATTTTGAATTGATTCAATGAGAGTGATCAATAACCTGTCCAGCCATGAGATCAGTGGGATATTCGAGATTATTGAGAACGTATTTGTCGAGAGCACATCCATCTGCATTCAGTATCTCGATGGTATCACCCTTTCCATCATCGACCGTACACGAATGCACAACAGCACAGAACGTATCAACTGTCTCAGAATCACAAGTCCATTTGTGGTATACTTGCTGACCGATCTCAGCATATTGTACTGGTTCTCCGGTTGGTCCTCCATCAAGAATCTGAATTGAAGTTATCCGTATTCATTCATCCCTTGAGTCAACCAATTCCACGCTGCTCATTTTCGAATATGACGAAGAAACATTGAATTAAAAAAGTAACTTTTGAGCAAGTGTTCAGTTGAAAAGTAGCGCTAACCTCATATCTGCAAATTGGCATCGGTATGACTTGTGTTTGGAATGCGGTCGTAATCTCGGAAACTTCGATTTGCGTCGAAACAGTCTTGTCGGCTTCCATATAGAAGCATTGTATGCGATAGGCGCGATCCACCTTGGTCACGAACAGTGGATGGAATGAAATAACAACGGTGGTCGTAACGTATACTCCGCGGGGATTTAGTGATCTTGTTCGTGCCACATTGCAAGTATCGAACGGTAGTTCAATACCAGCTACTTGTCGACCATGTTCACTCTTTCGACATTCGTCCTGAATGATGGGCAACATTCATTTCATTCATTCTGGATACATTTCAGTACGTCAAACTGTTAGATGCGGCCAAAAATTTTCGGTTGGGAATGCATTTGAGAAGTCAAGTGGACAAAAGTTGCCATCAGAATTTGAAATTAACAACTTGAAGACGTCAATAGCAACAGAGAAGTTGTTTGGATTTCACCTCACTGAGAACATCTCTTCGGTGGAGAATTGAAAAGGAATGAAAAGCCGTAATGACACAATTGGTTGAAGGTTACGTACCTGTTCATAGAGTCCTTTTACATAGACATGTCCTTCGAAAGGATTTCGAGTGTTGAAGTTAACAGTCACTGAGACGGGACCGCACTCAATTTCTGGTTCACCCTCAACCCCGTTATCAACGGGAATGGCGATTGCCAACGCAATCAATCCTAAAGCTATGAGCAGTCGCAAACAAATCATTGCTGAAAGAGTCGAGTAGCAGCAGCCTCACCCACGAATTAATGATCAAATAAATGAATTTAGTTATACTATCGATGAAGTTTCTCCTTTAAATACGCATAATCCATAAGGTTCTAATGGGTCATAAGGGTCATCCCTTGACCATTCGTTTATTGCGATGCCCCTCCTCCTGTTTTTTCTTCCCTGTGTTTTATTTTGTTACCATTCAATTTCTTCGTCAATCATCCGCATGAACACACAACAATGAGATGGATGATACGTCAACGAATAACACAACAGATAATACAGATCTTCAGAAATTTTTCATGTCTATCATCAAATCCGTGCGATGAGAGTCTCGTTGAATGGTGCTGCTGCATCCTCAGTCAAATCAATACGAATCACTTCATTTCATCGTGTTTATGGATCAATTCAATAGCACACTTATCTCTGAGCACTTAAAATTCAGTTTCAAACAACTCTCATTATTACTTCATTCAGACGTATTTTGATCCTAAACTTTTAATTCACCAGTTGTTTTCTTCTTCTTCGAAAAGACTCAAATTATGGCTGGCGGCCACTTGTGATGACAATCTCGAAATTTTTTCTCAGTTGAATGGTTTTGGCGATAGATGAAGTAGTCAGTTTTTTGGTTCGAATCCACATGACTGAATTATTGCTCTCTCGATGATTGATAAACGTTGACAACACTTTCAGCATCATTATTTTAGAATACAAGATCATTAATGTGATCCAATGCTCACAATAACTTAAATTCTCAATATAATTGCACAATATTATCAAAAATTTTTTTTCAGTGTCGCAAAAATTCGGGTTTTTTTGAGGAGTTTTTGTTTTTGCATATTGACACTAATGATGTTTGTCAGTAGGCGGAAAAGAAATGAAAACTGTGAGAATATTCATTTGACAGAAACGAAAAACGAACGACTGTGTGTTATATTCGATTGAAAACAGTTAACTGCTGAATTATTGACATCAGTGGTGAAACTGAAGATAAAGAAGGATCGTGCATTAGATGATGAGAACGTTATGATGCAAACATCTCATTCGTCTTCACTGTGTGCTCAATCTGAATTTCGCAAAAAAATCAAACGTTGGTATCGAATTTCGAATTTTCGAATTCACTTTAAAGTGCCTTCACGCTCACTGGAATGAATCACTTAAGTGATCATTATCAGTGAGTTCCCGAATAGATTAATTTTAATGAGGTAATCGCGATCAGTTAATTCTAAATTTTGTTCCAACATTATTGTTAGTTTTCATTTGATCTTGTAAACGAGCTGAATTTTGATCTTATCAGCGTGATGAATTCTTCCACTGCTTTGCAGCAGCGCGCTTTTCGAAAAAGTTCCTGATTCTGCTGAAATTCATAATTGGAATGTGAAAAGGCGACTGATTAGTTCACTGCGGAGAAGAGTGTAGTAGATCTGTTATCCATCATAATTGGCTTTTGCTGCTACAAACGCGCATTTTACAGCACAAAATGTATTTCATTTCTCTTTGCATTCTAATCTCCATCTAATATTTATCTGATATTCCTCTGTTTCTTTTTTTGCAATCCGTAAGAGTCTTTTGCATGAAATGCGGATGTTGGTGTGTCACTTAGAGAAGCGTTGAGTTTGAAAAGTTTTTAATTTTCGCATTATCTGAGATTCACTCGCGAAGATTACCGTCTTCGAAAGATGATGATGTTGACGAAGACATCGCGTTAATCATCAATATTGGAAAGTTGACTCGACGAAATGCTCAAAACTTTGCATGCGAACGTGTTTTTAATTGTGAATTTCGACGTGTTTTCTAATTGCTACTGTCCTCAGCGCATTTCCGTTCACTCTTGAATCACGCAGTGGATGCGTTTTCAATCCTGTTCCCATGGTTTTTCTTCTTTTTTGAGTGGCGCACAAGTGGTTTTGACTGAGACTCGAATGCACTGACGTTCATCCGACTCAACGACGTTGTCCACTCGATTCCACTTGCTAGAGCGTCGCGTCAACAATTCATTCTCTGTACAAGCAGTTGCACACATATTTATACATATAATTATATATATATATATTTATTTATTATCTATATATATATATATATTTATATTTATTATTTTATACATACATAGTATTTCTAAGTGAAATTGGAAAGCATGTATATAAATATATAAATAAATATATATAAATATA